TAGAAGGCCAGCTGGCCACCTGGAATGTGGTGTCTCAAATAGAATATCACATGGTACATATTGAAGTATTTTAGGTAAGTTTCAGAAATCATAACACAGTTGCCAGACTAGTCTCACGGATTATATTAGGCAAGAAGAATTGCTTTTCCAGTTGCCTGCTTTCCCTCCTACCCCCACCCCCCCGCCTGCCTGCCTTTTATTAATGGATTTGTTGCTGTCACAAAAATGGGAGTTTTTACATGATGGTCCTGATGTTTGGCTTCTCTGGAAAAATTGGGAGGTCTGGCAGCCCCTAGTCCACATTTCCTCTGGGGCAGGCTTCTATTTCAGTTGAGTGACAGTAGCTGCTTTAGACCTGGGTGTGAAGGGACTGAAAATGAGCTCCATACCTTCTTTCCTCCTGACCCCTGTAGATATTTGAGTTTTTGACCCTTGCAGCTGTCAGACAGTTTTTCTTCCTGGCTCCACACTTGTCCTTTGCTGATGCTGTGTCTTTGTCTGGAATCTGTTTCCTGTAAGGATTGCCTGTCCAAATCGTCACTTCATTTTCAAGGTTGGATCCAAGGCCTACTTTGGTTACAGTCGTTCACCATTGTATAGTTGAAGCTCTACTGCCTCCACATAGACAGCATAGTATTCTATTTTACATGTTGTTCAGTTGTCTACTTTATCTTATCCTACTGGATTGGTGATATTTTTCTTTTAAAAAATATTTTATTGTATAGATGCTGTTATAGTTACATGAGTAAGATAATGAGTATATTTCTTGTCAATCATTGTTACCTCTCCTCTGTTTTTCTCCTACTATCCCCTCCCTCCCCCACCTCCCCTATTCCCCTATCCACTGAAGTTGTAAAGTTCATTTCCAACATAGTGTCTTGTGAGTCTCATTCTTGCAATGGGTCATCCTGTGTCCCTGTTTCAGCATTTTGTTATTTTCCTTCCCCTCCTCAAATAAGATAAAGATGCAAGATACCAACAACAGGGATATATCATAGGGGGAAGAACATACAAAAGGAAAAAATATATCACATAATTGTTGTTAAAAACAACAACAGCAAAGAAAAACCACTTGTATCCATATCTTGGGGTTCATTTCGTTTAGCATCATCTTACATGGTTATATGTACATAGCTTTTGAGCTTTTCTGCTCATCTCTATGATTGTCCTAGATGTATTTATTGTCCTAGATGTAATTATTGCAAATAAGGGGAACCATGGGACCTATATGGGTCTGGCTTACTTCATTTAGTATGTTTTTTTCCAAGTCTTTCCATTTCCTAACAAATGGGGCAGTGTCATTCTTTCTGATGGAAGCATAGAATTCCATTATATATATATATATATATATATATATATATATATATTCCATATAGAATGGTGATTTTTTGCAAATTCTTTATTGTGATTATGTGATTACATGATTTCACAAATTTCACAGTATTGTGCAATAGTGATGCTTAGTTAAAGTCACAATGGTGATATTCTTAAAGGTGTAACATTTATATTTCTCATATTTTACATTTACAACTTCCCAAAGGCTACTGTACTCCTTAGCTCATTTACCTTGTTTGTTAAAAGGCAGAGAATAGTAGCTTATTGATCCACCTAAGAGTTATGACAAGAAATGTATTTGATTGAAGAAGGAGGAGAGTCATATAAATATAAGAATAGAAAAGAGGCCCACGTAAGAAGGCAGGTGAGGCCACAGAGGCCAAGGAAGCCTCTTGTGGAAGTCACACATTGGGATTCTGCCTACCCTTTCCTGACACCCTCCTCTTGTATAGTCTAGCCTTAGGCCTGGCATCTGAGATTCCCAGCTTAAAACTATTAGTATGTGATATTTCCTGGTAGTTCTTCCACTCTCAGAATCAGATCTCTATAAACCTACAGCTCTTTTTCAAGGTTTAGCATTGACACTCAAAATAAGACAATGACTAGAGTTTCTTGAATGGTTAAGTGGTAAATTAGCTACAGGGGATAGATGTACATTGAATAAATAATCCAGAGCCAGGATGCCAAGGGTGCTTTGGTTAAGAAGGACATGGAGGAGGTCCTGTGTGGCTGGTCCTTTGCACACTGGAGGGATAATGTACATGGGCCTCCAGCCTCGTGTGTGGAGGCAGTACTGGTGAGGTTGAGGAGCTCATGGAGTCAGGAATAAAAAGAAGTTTGTTGGGGCTGGGTCTCACAGCTGGATCTACCACTGGTGACAAAGGAGGTGGGAGAAGTTTGTCTGTTGGGCTGAAGGATTTTGACTATATTTTAAGAGGATGAGAGGCTTTAAAGGCTTGTATAGAGCCTTAGGTCTGTGACATAGGAAGGCCTATAGACTGGAGCGCAGATAATGAGGAAGCAGGAGGTGAGAAGAGGCTGCCGTAGGAATCCTTGCAAGAAATAAGGGTGGCTGAAACTGAGGCAGTGGCTTCTGGGGAGGGAGAGAATAGAGAGATCTCAAAGACTTGGGAGTCTTTTAGTTATGAGGACAGAATTCTTTCTTTAAAACACTCTTCAGTTAATTTCCTCAGGCAGGAAGACTGCCTGACTAACTTTAGGTGAACCCTTTGGCTTCATGTTGCAGGAGGAATGTCCATGGATTCGGACTCAGGAGTGTCTGGCACCATTCCCTTTGGCTATGTAGATGTGGCCCTGCGGAAACAAGGATGGCTTTTCACTGTGAACTGTTGTGCCACCTTGTCTCACTGTCACATGTAAGCTGGCTTGACAGCATATACCAGTTTTCCTGTTTGTAGAAGCACATTGTGTACTTTGGTCCAAGACATTCTGTTCCTTAGCACATATAAATCTTCTTGTGTACACATTAGCCATACATAAGAGCAAATGGTGTATTTATTCTTCTGTCTTATGAGCCAGTGGATGTTAGCATTAGTGTTTTCTGCTTCTGGAATTCTTGTTCTGAGCTTTAAAGACATTTAACCATCTGTTTATGACTTTAAGTGAATGTTCTGAGTGGAGGCTATGAATAAATACGTGAATCATGAAAGATATATCAAAGAGGTATTGTCAATAATGAACTGCTGCTATACATCTTGCTTAGCTATTTTCTGGCTTTTAAATTGTCTAATAGGAGCAGACAGGAATTGAAAAAATAATGTCCAGTATGGATTTTTTTTGGTTTAAATCTGTCTTTTTCTAAGAGGCTTGGTATAGGATTGCTTGAGCTGCGTTTAAAAGAATCTGATCTTTCCTTAAGGCAGTTTTTTCTATAGTTTATTTATGTCATATGTATGCAATTAATATTATATTATAAAATCTTTAAATAAATATAAGATGTTAACTTTATTATTGAACCTCACTTTGGAGAATAAACTGGAATTAATCTTTCTGAAAGCATTATCATATTCATTCTTCTACCCAGATACAGTACACTTTTACAAATGATTCTGTCCACCCAACTTTTCTTAAAGAGAATGAACCCTACCTTCTCCCACTCACAAGAGACTTGATTGGTTCCAGAGGATTTTTCCAAAACGCTTCATTTTTTCTGACCTCTGTAATATAATGTGAAACTCAAAAGAATTTTATATTTGGACCCACATATGTGAATTAAGTTGAATAACAGTTTTTTCACAGTATGCTTTTGCTCAGTAATAGCACCTGAGTAGTAGCAGTTGGAACAAACACTCCATTTGTCAATTTTCATTTCTTTTACTTAGAATGAGATTCCTGCTGGGAGTTGAGTATATTTAAATGTAAATAAAATGAAACAGTCAATGTATTTTCATGTAGGGAAGTAGTTGCAGTGTAATTAAGACATACAGTTGCATAACTGAAAATCCAGGCCAAAAGTTTATATATTGACCTTGGTTTGTACTTGAGTTATTCTTTGGTAATTATTGTCATTCTGACAGTTAACAAAGGAAACTAGTAAAGAATATCAGACTAACTTTCAGGAACCAGACTGCATAGTTTATGCATTATTTGAAAGTGTTGACTACCCTTTTAATTAATATCTACCAGTTCACTATCTAGGAGTCTTTTGACTTAAGTTACAAACAAGTATACTAGTTTTGAATAACTGCTACTTTAACTGATTAACCATTGGTAATCTTTATGCAAAAATACAAGTAGGATTGCATGTGTTAGTAATCAGCTGGTAGTCTCTCCTGTTACATGGAGAGATATTCTTTCCAATGGGCTTATGCAGCATGTTTAATCATCCTACATAATTTTTAATATATAAGAAGAGTAATTATTTTAATTACTATTTTATTTTTAAGTAATAGTTATTGGGAGGAATATTATTTAAGTTCTACAAACCATGCCATCTGTTTTTAGGAAATTCAGGAAAATAACATAGGGAAAAGAGAGTTGTTGCTTACAAAGCTTTTCTTTTGTGTGGGTAGCTGAACATGCACAAACCTAGGCCTGGTGGCTTTGTGCACTGGGTTTATGGGTTTGCCATTATGATTTTAGCTAAGGTGTTAGTAAGCACTGTTTAGTCGAGGATATGGGAACATGAAAGATGAATGTTTTTCATCTTTTAAAAATAAGTCTGTAAACATTGGCAACTTGAATTAAAGAAGCTAGAAAATCATAAGAATATATACAAAAAAAGGAGCTATACTGTGTACAACTTGTACTTTCCCCAGTGGTATTCTTACAAGTGATTTTCTAAAATGAATCTTGGCTAAAGCTGAAATTTTATTTTCAGGGTTTTAAGAATGTGTTTAGCTTTTCATTGGTATCTTAATACTTTATGATTAATTATGACTTTTGGTATTGATTTAGTGGAAATATAATTCGGTATAGTGAGCTTTTGGGTCGATGGGCTTGCTGACCTATTCGGTACCTGAGAAGGTACCTGTCATACATGGCAGATGGGAAGAGCAGCCTAGCCTAGGTCTGAGAGCTGCATGAATGTTTGCAAGAATTCATTATCATCCTAAAGCTCACCAGGAAGAGATATGTTCCAAGAGACAGAATTTATAAGCAATGTCTTACATAAAAAAAAGGTTGATTTTTCTTTTCCCTTTCAGATTTTGGGGTAAGTGCATTCTTAGCAACAGGAGGTGATGTTACACGGAATAAAGTAAGAAAAACATTTGTTGGCACCCCATGTTGGATGGCCCCTGAAGTCATGGAACAGGTACAAAAAAAGGTTACCTTGATTGTTATAGTATTATGACACATACCCGTAGCACATTAAAATTTCATTGTAGTCAATTTTAGTAGAGTGAATTGTGTAAAGCCTTTAGCAAGTTAATATGAAAGTTATTTATAAACAGGTCTGTCTTCCTGATATAATAAGATATGTAATATAGCTGCGGTATCATTGTGTGTTTCTTTTGCTGTTTTTCTTTTTTAGGTGAGAGGCTATGACTTCAAGGCTGACATGTGGAGTTTTGGGATAACTGCCATTGAATTAGCAACAGGAGCAGCACCTTATCACAAATATCCTCCTATGAAAGTAATTACTGTTGGAAATAATATGTGGGGTTTGAAATGTGATTGGGTGGCATTGATTGTCTAATTCTCTTGAACTTACTCATTTTTCTCTTAGACATGCAGAGAATTAATGGAGGAATGCAGCCAAGTTGAATACTGCCTAATTTTCTCAGTGAACATAATGGGCATTTCCCAGCTTTGAAGCTGGATTTACGTTCTTAGCTAGAGTTCAGGGAAGAATGTGATTAGATTGGTTGATAGAAGTTGAGAGCTCTGACAGATGCTGGTCATGACTCTTTAGAGCAGAACAATTCTAGTCCCCAAAGAATAGCAAAGAACAGATTTAGTGACATCATCTTCTCAGATGGATCTCACAGAGCCTAAGGACTTTTATTTTTAATTTTTAATGCCCTACAGTATTCTCTCCCCTGACCTCACAGTGTCATATTGGTGGCTCATCTCATGTGAGTGAGTCATGATATTTTTAGTCTGCAGCATATATGTTGGGTACTATTTCCAGAGTTTTGTTACCCTTCAATCTTGCATTCTAAATTATTTTTCTTACTTCTGAGAACTGAAGTTACTCTGAGGACTTTGTATTTTACTCAGTGTTTTTATTTTCTATTCTTTTGTTTTTCCTGTTTGTTTTTTTTTAAACAGGAAAACAAATACTATTTCTTAGCTGAATCTTATGAGAACTTGCTAATCCCAGTCTGAAATCCAGTAGAACTTTTTTCCAGAGTTCCCAGCCCTTCATGTTGTCCTTTTCGCCATTATCCTCTGTGAACAATAAACTGTCACTTTCATCCTGCATGTATTCAGACATCTGAAAGTGTTTGAAAAGAGCCTTGACATGTATAGCATTTGCATAAATTAAGGTTGATCTATGCATTTATTTTACTTTGTAGGTCAATTGTTGCACATTCTATTTTCTTATTAAAGCAAGTAATTTTGATGTTATTGTAAAATAGCATGTTTATTTTTTACCTTTTTTGATTTGAAATTTTATTTTATTTTATCTTCCTCTCAAAGCAGCATGGCCTTTGATCTGATTATGGATCTTCACAACTCCTGGCTATCTACCAAGCTGTTTTTCACAATTTTCTGTATGTTTTCTCTCTCTCTCTCTCTCTCTCTCTTTCTCTCTCTTTCAAAGGACATCATGTTACCTCCTGTGATGTGGTTTTATTTTTAGGGTTGGTAATATATTTCAGAAACCCTGCATACGGTTAGTTCCTTCATTTTGAATGGCCTGCACAAATGACTGTCACTTTTTCTTTTTGCCACCCACCACCCTCTTTCTGTGCTAGAGCTGTGTGCTGGAGGCACTGGGAGAGCCAGGTCCCAGAAATCTCTGCCCTGGTTGCTTCGGGAGCTCATTCTTAACACAGAGAGCAAATTTCATAAGTACTGACAATGGAATAACAAAAAAGGTTAAAGAGTAATAGATTTCCAAAGTGACATGAATATTTTGAGTACACATTTTTTTGGAAAGTTAAATAATGGAAAACCTAGAGAAGGAGGGCCTCTGATAGGTTTGTACAGAACTACCAATATCAGGGTAGCAAATAGGTGAACTGATATTCTGTCTTCATGTTTCTTAATGCTGCAGGTGTTAATGTTGACCTTGCAAAATGATCCACCTACTTTAGAAACTGGCGTAGAGGATAAAGAAATGATGAAAAAGTATGGCAAGTCCTTTCGAAAATTACTTTCACTGTGTCTTCAGAAAGATCCTTCCAAAAGGTATGTCAATGTTAGTGGAGGAGCTAGTGACCTGGTTTGAGTCCTGACAAAGCTGTTTTTGTGGAGGTGAAAGTTTATGTGAGAACACTGGGAAGGTACTTTTAGTTCCAGGGGAAACCCTTCTCTGATCTCCTGATTCACATCCTGTTAGCAGAATACAACATGGCTTCAAGGGGGAGGGAAGCAGGTGGAGGAAAGGGGGAGGAAGATCAAAATTCTTAATAAGTCTTCACTGTGCCTGTTATGTGTGGGCTCTGTCATCTGAGGAAATGAAGTAAAATAGAACTCAGAAGAAACTGGCAGTGCTGCATTCAGAAGCTGAGCTAATATTCTGCTCACTGTAGGTTGAGCTGACCTCGCAGGACTTGAACATCTGGCTAGCGCCAGTCTGAACCAGGCAGAGCTACTGAATTTTGCATGAGCTTCCTTTTAGTTGCAGAACAAGTTGGCTATGCATTTAAAAGATTATCAGCAAAGAAGATTAAGGAGATTTTTACCTAGAAAGATTAATCATATAAACAGAAGCAAATGGCTTTAAATTAACTTTAGTGTTTTTTTCTTTGTTTTTGTGTTATTGTCCTGTATGGTAAATGTCTCTGTTGTTTGAAGTGTCTCTGTAGCTCTGTGACTTTGAAATGTCCTCAGTACTGATAATGGAGACTAGTATTTTTTTTTTTTTTAGCACTTAAAGGAGAACATTAATGATGTGACTCACACACGGGGCTTACCTTGGTAAGGTCCTTTTGTGGGTCCTTGCTTGTGTGTGGCATACCCTAGCATAGACCTGAAAAGGTCTCTGTCCTCCCAAGTGCAACACACACACACACACACACACACACATGCACACGCGCGCGCACACACACACACACACACACGATTTCTTTGGTGGTGGTCATTGTGGAGTTTGAACTCAAGGCCTGAGTACTGTCCCTACATAAGTACTGTACCTACCACTTTGAGCTACAGCTCAACTTCTGTTTCTTTTTGGAGATAAGAGTTGAATGGACATTCCTACCCAGGCTGGCTTTGAACCACAACTTACATCTCTGTTTCCTGGAGCTAGGATTACAGGTCCAAGCCACCTGCACCCAGCTATACATAGCTTTTTTTTTTGAAATTAACATAAAAGTGGACTTTTCTTTTGAAAGTTTCTTTTTCAGGGATGGAATTTCTTGTTAGAACTGATTCCTTTATTTTTATCTTAATTTCTCTGTGAAACTTGTTAAAGTCTTTTAAACTTTCCATAGTAAATTGCTGTTTGAGAAGGCTATCCATCTAGATTGAACACATTTCATGGTGTTTCTTTGATAGGTACAATGTTTATGTGCTACTAATCAGATTGTAAATAATTTCAATGCACTATTTTAATGCACTATTTATTTCAATGCACTATATATTTCAGTTGTCCTTTTTGTTTAATTTATGGAACTTATTTTTTCCTCCAATGTTTCATTGAGGTCATTTCTTTATAAGCTGATAATGCTTTTAGATTCTGATTTTGTTCTTTAATGTTTTGCTTTTCTTTCCCTTGTATTTGGTATCATTGTTAAAGGTAACATTTGGACATCACCAAGAAGATAGAGTTTGACCCTTTATAGCCCAGTGAAAGAAATGTTATCTTTCTACTTAGTTGTGGGTTATTCCTGAATCTTTGAAATTCTTGGATTAGTTGAGATCCCACCTAGTGGTTGTGATGAATAATGTCACACAAATCTACCTTGTTAAGATGATTTTCATCAAGTCTTTTCCTCATGTAAATAACAATAACCAATAATATTAAAAACATTATTAAGCACAGAGCATTAGTAGTTTAAGGCCTCCTTTTAGGTATTTTCTTTTAAACCTAATTCACAAGTATGCATTTTAAACAGTTTTAGACAATGAAAGGTGGATATTAACATCACATATTAATACATATATCAGGCATTTGAGGAAAAAAATCAGAAAAATGATTTATGAAGTATGAGAATAGATAAAAGTAACATTGCTATTTTTTAGATGAGATTTTTTTTTTTTTTTTGTCAGTCGTGGGGCCTGAACTCTGGGCCTGAGCGCTGTCCCTTGGCTCTTTAGTTCAAGGATAGTGCTCTACCACTTGAGCCACAGAGCTACTTCTGGCTTTTACTTTTTATGTGATATGGAGGAAATGAACCCAGGGCCTCATGCATGCAAGGCAAGCACTCCACCACTGAGCCACCTTCCCAGCCCGAAATATTATTTTTATATGGATATGTAACTAAATATATGTTACCATTTAATTGCATGGCACAATTCTGAAACTGTGTATATTCCAAAGGTATTCAGGCACCTCGGCCTTTGGCCATGCTGTTGTAGACTTCTTGCTCTGTCCTCTTTGTACCTGCTTTCTGTAGTTACTCAAGTGCCGTATCTCTTTAAAGTTGGATACAACTGTAAAGATACAACTGGATGAAACAGAGATTAAAAGATACAACTGTATATTGCAGAGATATATTATTGCCTCTAGATTTAATATTCTTGTCTGTGAAATGGGTTAATAATATCTCCTTCACAGGACTGCTTCCAGGAAAGAATGAGACTGTGCACTTAGATAGCATAGTTCCTGGGGAGTCCTTCTGTGCTTGAGAAATTGAGGTTGCCATTCATTATTTGCCTTTCTTCCTTGGCTAAATGACACTTTATGTAATAGTTACAATATGCAGGTGGTTATCTTTTGTAGCACTTACTACTCTGTGTGCACTTGTTGTCTTTTGCTATAAATTCTTTTTTTTTGTTCCGGTCGTAGGGCCTGAACTCTAGGCCTGAGCGCTGTCCCTCAGCTCTTCACCTCAAGGCTAGCATTCTACCACTTGAGCCACAGCGCCACTTCCAGATTTTTTTTCTGCTTATGTGGTGCTGAGGAATCGAACCCAGGGCCTCAAACATCCAAGGCAAGCACTCTACTACTGAGCCACCTTCCCAGCCCATGCCTATAAATTCTTAAGGAATTTTTAAGTAGAGGAAAGATTTTAATTGCTCATGTTTAAATGCAGGCTTTGGTTTGACTTACATTCTCAGTACTATCTCTCTCTTGAATACTTAGAGTTAATTTGGACTTGGCAATTTGAGAGTGATTTGAAGTTCCCGAAAGAAGAGTCAAGATGGTTGAGGAATTAATGGAAAGCTTTGGATAATTTTTATTGAGCTCTGTTGCCTGAAGGCAGATCTGAGATCTGTGGACCTGTGCTCTGAAAGCAGTTCACTGGTCCAAAAGCCCTGGTATGGAAGTGAATGCAATCACACTTCAGCAGAATAATAACTAGGGCTGATTGACTCTGTGCATTTACGCTCAGGCTTACTATGAAGAGACTGCCTTTTGTGTGTCATTTGATATATTTAAAAATTATCTTTAAGTAGCTGTATAAGGAATTTCCATTTAACAATGTAGTTTATGAATACATCTTGTTCACCCCTTTCAACTTGCTCATCCTCCTCTCCCCTACATCCCCCTTTTCTCACTCTTCTTAATTTTGTAGGATAAACATTGAATTCTTGACTGCATCCTCTCCTCCTTCTCCTCTTTATTCCTCTACCTCTTTCCCCTTGACCCCACCCCTCCTCATTCAAGTAATGTTTCAGAATTCAATTTTCTTTATTGCTTTGTTATGCTCATATAGGATCTTCTCTTTTTGATACCCTGAGAGCCCCTTGGACTTTTCTTCTCAGAGAGCTAGCAATTGGGACTCTTTGCCTCATAGAGATTTTTCTTTTGCATTAGCAAAGACAAACAATTGCTGATATGTACATAGCAGAACATCTTGCTATTTTTTTAAATGTGCCTTGACCTTATAAATTATGTTCTTCCTATGGATTGAACCTATTAAAAAACACACAATTTTCTCTGAACATCAAGGGAATGGATCTTGCATAATCCATCAAAATAAGTAAGACTTTTTGTGGGGATGGAAAGGTGAGGAAAGCAGTTCTGCTTGAGGTCAGTGATGTGGTAGAATTTAGTAATGCAAGTATGAATGCAAGCTGTTAGAACTATTTAAACTGTGTCAAAAGTATCCTAATCCTTTGAGAATTATGTTAAGTCTTAGTGGACTTTGAATCATCCATATGTATTAACTGAACACTTCTAAGAGATTTTCTTCTGAGAATGCTGGTAGTTGCAGAGTAGTCCATTGTTTTTGAGGATTAAGAATTGGATCATCATTGAAACCCTGCCCCATTGTTTGTATTGCCAGTAACACTTTAACCTTTCTTGTAAAATAGCATTTCTAGTTAAATTGTGAATTATATTGCTTGATGCTTGTCCAAGCAATTCAACCATGTAAGACGTGGCTATGAAGAACTCTGTCCTGTAGTTTTCAGTTAAAATACTGGCAACATTGATGCTTCCAGGTACTTACTATGGCATAAAATGAAAAGTAACAATAGATCAAACCAAAATGAGGGGGAAAAACACCCTTAAGATCAAATAGGCAGTAGGCAGCTCTGCTTTGTGTGTGTGTGTGTGTGTGTGTGTGTGTGTGTGTGTGTCTGTGTGTCTGTGTGTCTGTGTGTCTGTGTGCATGCACATGGGCACAAGAGTTTGAACTCAAGATCTCATGCCTTAAGATGATTACACACCTCAGCTTGCTTGCTGGTTTTCTTGGAGATGGAATCTAGTAAACTAGTTTGCCTGGCTGGATCCTCCAGTTCTTAGCCTTTTGTCATCTGTAGCTAGGATTGCGGGTTGGGAGCCTGCAATCCTAGTATCTCCTAGTGGCACCTCTTCTTTTTCATACTTCCTGTCACTTCCTTTTCTTTGTTTGTTTCTTATTTCTTTCAGCTTCTATTTCCCATGTTTTATCATGGATATAGTTTGGTACATGTGGGATTTTACACCAAAGCTGTGAACACATTGACTAACTTAAACACACAAAAAAGAACCAGTGACCTAGTATGGAGTTATTCTATGTAGAGGTGGAAGGACCTATAGCTTTAACATTTAAACCTATGAAAAAAAGGAAGTGGGTTTTTTAAACTACTTTTTATATCATGGTAGTTTCGTATGTATGAAGAAGGTTAAGGGTGAAATGGAGTGTAGAGAAAGAGAAAGAGGTTTTCTCTGTAGCATGCTTTTCCCTTTTACATTTTTGGTCACCATGGAAATGACCTTGCTGGGAACAGAAAGCATTTTCTGAGCCCTGTAATTCAAAAGGACATCCATCGCTTCTCAATCTTTGTGTACTTTGGCTCTATACTTGACCCTGGATGTCTAGAAAGAGCATGGTGGGAGTGGGGCATGTAGCAGAGAGAGGGAAGCATTTCAGCTTCTCTTAACACCTTTACTGTTCTCACTCTTTGTTTCTCTAGGTGAATCTTATTTTCATTGCGTCTTTTCTCTACCCCTGCTCTCTTTCTGTTGAATGGATAATTTGTCTTTAGTGTTGAGTACACTTAGCTGCCTGGGTTGTAGGACTGTGTCCAAGTGTCCAACAGCATTACTTTCACCCTATGTTAGATAATGGTATGAAAGTGAGCTGTAGCAATTCTTTCTGTTCTATTTTAGACTGTAGCAATTCTTTCTGTTCTTTTTTAGACATTCAGAGTATAAAAATGAATAGTATATGGTTTCTGGCTTAGAAAGGCACTTAATTCAGTGAAGTGGAGGCAGGAGGGACATAGATACTGATAATTATGGAAATGTGGGTAGAGCAGTGTGTGAGCACCAAGTTGGGAGCAATGAATGCCCTTAGTAGGAGCTGGGAGGGGTGTCTTGAAGATGATGGCATCTAATTGCTTCTTGACTGATGAGCAAGGTGTGCCAGTTGGTTATGAGAGATTTTGGAGCCAGAAAAGCAGTGTGTGATCTTTCATGAAAGAGCTGGAGATAAGAGAAAGAGTTGGAAGTGGCGCTGTGGCTCAAGTGGTGGAGTACTCGCCTTGAACTGAAGAGCACAGGGACAGCACCCAAGCCCAGAGTTCAAGCCCCATGACCAATTAAAAAAAAAGAGAAAGAGTAAGAGGAGCAGGGAAGGAAGAAAGGGGGTTGGGCACTGCAAAGGTGGTTAAACTGGAAGAGTTAGAATCTGAACAGCTTGCTTGTATCTCTGAAATACAAAATCTCTGACAGTGGATAGAAAAGGGATCAGGTGTTTTTTGTTTGTTTTTGTTTAGACATTAGCTTGGGTAGCATTGTAAATGATGGATTGGAATTAGAAGTGGCTGAGATACTAACTGAGAGCCTGCTTTATTTGTATTAACCAGAGATGAAGCTATATAGGCTTTACATAAAACATTGTCCCTGCATTTCTTAATCATCTCCATAAATTTTTTTTAAGATGTGGTATTACTGTTTTGCCCAGGTTGATCTCAGCTTCTAAGTACTTACCAGCTTCTTTAAAAAAATTGCCAGTTCTGGGGCATGAACTCAGGGACTAGGCTCTGTCCCTGAATCTCTCTATGCTCAAGGCTAGTACACTACCACTTGGGCCACTTCTAGCTTTTTCTAAGTAGTTTATTGGAGATTCCTGTCTGGGGTGGCTTTGAAATGCGATCATCAGATCTCAACCCCCTGAGTAGCTAGGATTATAGGCATGAGCCACTGGTGCCCTGCTTAGCTTCTTGTTTTATAAATTTGATTTCATGCTAAGTTTGACGCCAAAGCCTGCTTGTTTGCATGGTTCCACACCATGTTCCCTTGGTAGCCTGTCTCGCTCCTTCTATCCAGATACAATTCCAAGGTTTCAATGTATTGCTCATTTTAGAGCCCGACAGCAGGCTAGTCTGTGGGTGGTTGATGGTACTGTTTCCATCTGTCCTATTCTGTGTGATATGCCCAGCATTTAGCAAAATCTATCTACAAACAGTAGGTGCTCAGTGAACACTGAGAGAATGAAAGGAGGAATTTGGAATAGCTAGAGGCCAAAACATTGCTGCTAATTAGAAAAAAAATACATTAAAATGATAAAGTTGAATAATGTAGAAATAGTTAGATCCCTTTTTCATCTTTAAGTTCTTTGCCTTTTTAATCAAGTGCAAATTCATGAACTTAATGAGCTTACCAAAGGATATAGCCCACCTGTTGTTTAGACTCTTATTTATTCAAAGCAATTAGCAATTAGCAGCTGTTTATTGTAGTGGTTATGTAGATTCAGGGTTGTTAAGAACCTGTAGCCAGTAAGGGAACTTGAAACTTGAGGAAAACAATAGCAACTTAAATAGAAATTTTCTTTGCCTAGAAATACAGTTTATGCCTCCTGTAGACATATGCAATGTGTGTATATATACCAGATTTTCTCAGTCTGTCCATTGAGTAGCATCTGGACTGACTACATATCTTGGCTATGGTGAATAGTACTGCAGTGAACATGTTTGTGCTGTTACCTGACTTGTTAAAAAAGAAACTATTGATGAAATAAGCTACATTTTACTTTAGGTCTTTTTTTGGGGGCGGGGGTAGTGTCTGGGGTTTGAACTCAAGACCTCATACTCACTGGACTTGCTTGCTTGGCTCTCATTGTACCATTTGAGCCATTCATCCAGACAAGCTTTTTGCTGGTTAATTAGAGATGGAGTCTTAGGGAATTTTCTGCCTGACTTGGTCTGGATTCACAGATCTCAGCCTCTTAAATAGCTAGGATGATAGATACGAGACACAGCAAGGGGGCTGTTATTTGTAGAAGAATGTCAATTAAACAGAGGATTGCTGAAACTAGAAAATTATCATTCTTCCACCTCTTCTGAAGTAATTGTTTAAGGCAAAGATGCTAAACCTTTAGGGGAAAGATTTTCAGGAACATGATAGTAGTACCATGCCAAAGTACTACCGAACAGAATACTTGCTAATTTCAGTAGGGAAAACATGCTGTACAGTAGAGACCTGGGACCAGCTGGTTAAACTCAGCAGTAACAGTGGAATAGCCTGTCAGTTCTTGCTTCTGAGTTGTTGCTGTCAGAAGTGTGTGATACCATCTGTGAAACATAACATGAAGATCCCAAATCTGTAGAGCTTGGCTCCAGAAGTATTTTGGATATCAGAGAGTTTGGGATTTTGGAATATTTGCAGATATTTTCTAGTTGAAAATATAAAAAACTGAAGTGCTCTGAAATCTGAAACTTGTTTGCCTAATGTATAAACACTCAAATACTTGATGAAACCTAATCAAGCCTTCAAATCTAACTTTGAGTTTAGAAGAAATATAGGTAAAAGTTCTGGGATATTATAGTAACAATCAGATCTATCCAGTAATGCTTTTAAATGAATTTGCATTTTATCAGTAACCATTACATTTACCTTCACTGAACTATGTAACAATAGCCTATTAACACATCTTGCATTACATACTGGGCAGACAGAGTTAGATAGGGAATCTGTGGGCCCCCCCGGGAAATCACACAGCACAGTGGATTGTAGTTACTCTGACAGAGTCATGTTCTAGCCTATATGGTTTCTTAGTAAGTACAGGAATTTAGCTTGTAGACAGGCCAATCTGCCACCTTCTGGAAATACTGAATTCATTTAGTAAAGTGTAACACTAAAGGATGGAAAATTGATCATGCCCAAGCACTTAAAATTACAGAAGTTCATGTGTTTTTGTAGTAGAGGTGTTTAGAAAGGACTGGAAAATTGGCACTGCTTTATTTGGTGCCAGTTCATGATTAACTTTGTTTCTGTTCTTCCAGAAGTACTCTAAGGTTAAGTTATATCATCAAGGCAGTGTATTTATTAAGTGGTCATTGTTTCAACTCTAATTTATTATTGATCTTTCAGGCCCACAGCAGCAGAACTTTTAAAATGCAAATTCTTCCAGAAAGCCAAGGTAACATGCTTAAAAAAACCAAGTAAATCTGCTATTTTGAAATCTCTATGAATTTACATGTATCTTATTTGGTGTTAAAACTGTTTGGATCATTTGTTTTGCAGAACAGAGAGTACTTGATTGAGAAGCTGCTTACAAGAACACCAGACATAGCCCAAAGAGCCAAGAAGGTAAGTGACACCTGGCCCACCCGGAGGAAATGAAACACATAGTAAAAACAGGACAATAGTTCTTATATACTCAGGATAAGCTATTCAGAGGATATCCCATTTGTGATTAGTTCAATAATTGCATTAGTCTTTGGGTTATCTTAGTGTGTTGGGTGAGGAAACAATGTGGAACTCAGTGATTTTAGTTTTCTACCAACTTTATTGAAAAAACCAGAGAGAAGGTTTTTGTGGAAGTTTAAATCCTGAATAGGTTAATAGCCTTAGGTGTCTTTTGGATTTTATACAAAGGGAATTCAGTGTCCTGTTCTCCTCCACAGCACTAGGGGGCAGCATTGGGGTGGAAACTCTGTGGGCAGATGCTCTTCCATTTTGAGCCATACTTTCAAGCCCTAGTTTCAAACAGTTTGAAATCATGAAAATGAAAAACTTATGTTTTGTTATGGTTGTGTAAGTATCTGTGGGATACAGTTCTTTCCTCATAAAAGATCCGTGGTCCTTTTTGTCTGCTTTAAAAAAAAAATTAAGTTAATGATTACCTGACAAATTTTCCATTCTAGGCTAAAGATTTTTTAAAATGCTAAGTATGGGTGAGTGAATTTATTACATTGTCCCAGAGCTTTATTTATTTTCACTATATATTTCATTATGATGTGAAACCTAGCAAAATGTACCCATTAATTTGATTCAGTTTGATTTTAAAAATTACACTGCATATTTATAATTAACATGTATATAGTCATAGGTTTAGAAAGGGAAGTTTTCCCATTAGCGTTCTTTCTCTCTCTCTCTCTCTTTCTGTCTCTTTGCAGCTAGAGTGAATCTGAGTGGTGTGTGCTGTAAATAAAACTGACAAATGTCCAGTGGAGATTGTAGCTTATTATACCCAGGTTGAACTCATGATGTTTATTTCAAGATGTTGCCTTTTCTAAAATGTTCTTCAGCAAATACCTTTAGCTGATACCTTAGAATTGTTCTAAGCAGATTTTAAAGCAGATGTCGAAGAAGGGGGCCTACTCTGTGCCGTTATCTGCACTTCTCTCATGGCCAGCAGAATTCTAGGGGCTAGCCGGTTTCTGGGTTTAGGAGGACATTATTTAGTTTACTTTGGAGTTTTTGCCCTGCTAGATGTCCCTGAGGGAACATGGACAGTTGGACTAATGGTCATCTGAAGAGGCAGTGCAAAGAAGAGATAGCTTTCATTTAATACAACAGGTTATAGACTAGGAGACCAGAGTTTGAGACCTAGTGGGTTTTCAGGGGGTACCAGATAGCATTCCATGGGGGGCTAGAGTCTAAACCTTCTTTTGATCTCATGCCTTAAATGTTAGTCACCCTGACAAAAAGCTGTTTCAGAGCTGTTGGCTTCTGTAGTAAGCATCTGTGAAGGACTATTTATTTTTCCTTTGGTCTCTACCTCTTTCCTGGGAGTCTCATCTATTCTTATCCTGTCATTTGTTCCTAATGGCTAGAGGAGTCTTCCAGATCTACTTTCTTTCCAGAGCTTCAGCTTCACACCTCCAGTTTCTTTTTCAGTGGCCTACTAGTAATCTGTGGTCATTTACCTTACCTCTCCAATCGGATGGCCCTGGGCTCTACATTGCTTCTGGAATCTGCTAGCCTTAGCACATTGGAATTGCATACGATCCCTCCTTCTGCCCACCGTGTCTGCCCGGCTCCTCACTTGTTTCTCTTTCTATACAGCATCACTTTTTTTTTTCCTATAAATTACCCTCTTCTTTTACACACACACACACACATTTCTGTAACCCAGGCTGGCCTAAATTTACCACCTTCCTGCTTCAGTCTCCTAGTGGTGGAATTAGAGACATGATCTACCACACCCAGCTCTTGGGTCCTTGATTTGTACTTCATCTTAAGCCTTGTTTTGTTATCCATTCCTTACCTGGAAAATTGCTGCACACTTTAGCATCTCTCAGAAGGCTGATGGGAAAATATAATGTAATTCTTTAAGCATGGTGGAGGAGACTGAGCCCCCCCCCAATGTTCTCTGGAGATATGAAATTCTTTTGTTGTACATTTCATTTTAAACTACACTTTGGTTATCAGGTGTACTCTGCCATTTACCTGTAGATTTGTTTGTTGATAGGTTGACTGCTTAGAACTATGTAATCACAATGTTGTTCATCTTCATAGCATGTGCCTAGAAATGGTTACTGGCTACATGATCACATGTGCCTGGGTATACCAAAGAAAGGTCATTCGAAACTATATTTTAACTCACTTTAACTCCCCAGATGCCTGTTTATACATTTGTGCCTAGGATTCCTGTTAATAGTGGACAACTTCCTCTTTCCCTTCCCTTGCGATATTGGTAAGCAACAATGATGTTGTTTATTAGAAACTTCTCATGCAGAGTTGACCAGAGGAATTCAATGTTATTTTAGTTATAATGTGCAATGAAAACTTTTAGTGATAGCTTAGCATGTCCTTCCTTTTTACAGTGTTTAACTCTCTCTAAGTTACTACAGGGGTCTTCCATATGTTTCCATATTTTTTGCCCTCTAACTTCTGTTTGTGGATGGTTTGTGGATGGTCCTTGGCTTCTTGCTTTCCCTTTTACTCTTCTGTTTTCTAGTTAATTTTTCTCTGGTTTTTGTGGTATGTATTTGGCATTCAGAGGCTAACTTGTTGGTGTAGGTACATTGATTTTTTTTGCCCCTTCAATTTGTTGTTTTTCAAACAGAAACACACAATCCTTTGATAGACTAACGTTTAAATAACAACTGGACCTTTTGTTTAGCTCTTGGACATTTTGGTAACCATGTTAACTTGATTGGTTGGAGGAGGTAAATATGATCAAAGTGAAGTGGACTGACCCCCCCTGGACAAAGTCATGGATGCTGACCAGTAGCTTAAAAGCTGGAGTTTAGTCAATTGACCAGCCAGGACTAACTCAACTTGGGAGTGAGCCTTGAACTCAAATAGCTCAGGATTTATAAAGGTAAAAAATTAGAGCAGATGCAAGCAAGCTGGCACACAGAAGCAGAAGTTGGCAGTTATTTTGCACGTGCATAAATCAAAAACATTCCTGAAACAATTAAAACCACAAATACCCCTGTAACAATTTCTTGACCTTTAAGCAATGGGCAGTTCCTGGTTTTGGGGACAGTGTTTCTGTTTTCTCGAACCTAGTAGTTATAGTAAAAGGGGCAGCTTTCTGCTCTCCTCTGGCCTGGAGAGTGCCTATGGCAGATACTGATTGTTTTACTACTACTTTCTGAATTCCAGTAACCCACCGTTTAACTCACTAATTTACTTCAAGCCTTTATCTTTGGAATTTCTCCTTTCAATGACTTACTTGCCTGAGTTATTGTTATGTTTTGTTTTCCACAGGGAGAGCCTGCCTTTCCAGTTTTGCCCTATTCTTAAAAATCAATAATTTTGTTCTGTAGTTTCTAATTTTACATTCTTTTGGGGGGATCATCACAGAAGTATATTATATTCATGTATGAAATGTCATGATGAAACTCTTACTGTGTATTGTATAATATATGCCAGTAAAAAGATGGCCTCCTCCAAAATTAAATTTGTTCACATAAACATAATTCTTTTCTTCTCTTTCCTTATAATATCCAGAATCAATGTGTTTTTGCCATTGTTGTTGTGGGTCGTGGGACTTGAACTCAGGGCCTGAGTACTGTCCCTGAACTTTATTGCTCAAGGCTAGCATTCTACCACTTTGTGCTGTAGTGCCATTTCTAGTTTTCCGGTGGTTAATTGGAGATAAGAGTCTCATGGACTTCGCTTCCTGGGCTTTGAACTGTGATTTTTACATCTCAGCTGCCTGAGTAGCTAGGATTACAGGTGAGAGCCAGTGGTGCCATTCTCCCCGCTCCCCCCCCCTTTTTTTAAATGTGAGTCAAGTTCATATTTAACACAGTCAGGGCTGGTCCTGTAATATTTCTCAGAAAGTCCTTTGGCTCATTGGTACTACTCTTTTGCAAAGATTGCTTAAAGCCTGTCACATAGTGTCTGGTAGACTGTGATGCCATCGGTTGAGACCTACTTGGTTCCATAGGGTAGGCAAGATCTTGTCTTCATTCAGATTGATTCTGGGTGTGGAAGGAATACCACTGTGGCTCTTTATTAATGACGCTTGGTCTCTGTGTGTGATAATTTGCAGAAATCAGAGATACTTACTTCCTTGCTGTAGGGCATGTTGGTCCATTCTGGGTTCCTTTGCTGACAGTGTTGTTTAGGAGGCATCTTGATTTCCTTTGGCATATTTTTTTTTGTCTGTAAAATACAAATGGGGAAGGGTAATGAGAGATCTGACTGGATATTCATGGACTCCAGGAGGCTCTGTCTATACTAAGGGAGACTATGCTAATGACAATCCTAGAGAAGAGTGGACCTATTGAACTTTCTTGTGTATGAGAAAGAAAGGCTTCACAGACAGTACTGTCTTGCATGTGGCTCTCCAGGGGCATCTTTCAGTCATTTTGGGGGCGTTCGAATGCTTAACTGAATGGTGCTTCATCCTCTACTAGATTGGCTGGATGGGGGAAGGGCATCTCAGTCATTCTGTTAAAATTGAATGTATATCTATAGGGCTGTGTGCATCTTCTTAGCAGCACTTAATTCTCAGACCTGGCTGAGGTGATAAGAACCCTGAGTCACCACATTCTCACTCATACTTTTCTATGATTTCCTAAAATCCACGTATTGCAGGACCAAGGGCAAGGAGCTAAGTAGCTACAGAAATGTCTCTAAAGGCCAGCCCCTCGCCAAAGAACATGCTGGGAGGAGAAGGGATGATGTGAGGAAATATAACACACAGTTCTCACTGTGTTGCCTATGTTTCTATGGGAAGTAGAATTGCTGGAGGAAATTTGCTTGCTTTTCTTTATAATGCTGGTTCTAGGGTTTGAACTCAGGGCATTTTGCTTTCAGCTTTTTCATTCATAGGCTGGTGGTCTACGATACCTCCAGTTTTGACTTTTTCCTGGTTAATTAGACATGAGTCTTTTAGATTTTGG